AATGTTTCACAGTGTGTGTAGTGTTTGCGATGTGGGAGTGTTGCACATTCAAATCACAGAACAGTATTTATCTCAGTTTAATGACTGTCAGCTGCAAAGACACTTCATCACACTTATGGGGAGAGATGACATTAAATTAATTGACTATGTTTTGACATTTCATTTTGTAGTTATCGGTGGATGCTCTTATCCAGATAGACTGACAGCCAGTTAGTAAAGCCGCTCATGTCTTTGAGGTAAACAGTGGAGGGGAAAGAAAATGTTCTGTCGGGTATCAGAAAGGACATTAGGACATTTCTCAAGGAAAAAAAAGTGACCACAGAGATACAGAACAGATGTTTTCAACAAGCAGACCAGCTTCCGACTGCAACGCAATCTGAAGACAGACTTAGCTCCTTTTCACCATCTGTCAAGATCCTGGGATATTTGTGGCTCTAGCTGTTTTAGTTACTTATTTCTGGTGCTTTTATTGTCTTACTTCCTTTTTTATTTTGTAGAGTTTTCCATTCATTCCGCTTCTTCTGGTTTTTAATCGTATATTTTCTCAACTGCTGTTCACCTGTTACGTTCTTCCTTTTTATACATGTATACCTGTGGGTATTGTCGGATCATTTTTGTGCGATTTATTTTCACGTCAGAGTTGTCGGCTTGTTTCCTTGTTGTCATTGAAGACCATTTCCTTCTCTATCCTGCATTTGTGTCCACTTACTGTCTTTCCAGCTGTGTAATGTGACTCACTCAGCAGGGTGTCCCGCCTTCTTTTCTGGTTTTTAATGCAAATATCTCAACATATCTTTGCTGCGGCTTTGGGACAGAGCGCCACATCACCACAACCACATGGAAGCACAACTTTTTGTCACCTTGTCAAACAAATCACAGCATGCTGCACGCTCCTGTCAAATTTCATCCTCCTGTAAGCTTCCCGTCTGCGCACTATGACCCACAGCTGTGCATCCAGTTGAAACCTGGGAATAGTCATTGTAATTTGATGTTAAATTTGTATGAGTAAACAGAGAGGAAATCCCATCTCCTGGGTACAGATTTTCATCTCAGTGGGCTTTTCATGTGTTTTTAGCACTTAGCACACATAGGCAACATGTAGTGTGATATATTATATGAAATGGCAATGTCCTGCTACTAATGTTTTGAAATGTTGCTTGTTTTATCTCTTTTCAGCAGGGTTACTAAAGCATGTGTTGGGAAACCATTAGTGAGACAAGCACAAATCATGTCTGAAAGGGTCATTCTGGAGCCTACAGACAAAACAAAAACATCTCTGTGCTCCGCTTTCCATGATTTTTTACCCAGTTTTTATGTTTCATGACAGTTTGGTGCTTCATCAAGCATGGCACAGCCCAGTGATCTGGCAGCTATGTTTAATCTTGCTGAACTTTGACCACAGCGTGTTTGTGAAACTCAGAATAAAATGGAATAAAGCGCACAAAGCAAAAGGAAAAGCGCATGTATGTCTGGATTCAATGAGTTCTTTTAATATTTATTTTAATCCAAGAATAAGAAATGTGCCTATTAAACTCTTTCAAAAGGTTGAATACAACTTGATGTTTGCTTTAACTGAAATGAAACACCAACCAGGCAAAACCCTACAGTGGATAATCAAACGGATGCAGTTCAGATGGATTGCAGGAGAGACAGTGGTGCTAAACCAACTCTTTCTTTAAGTGTGAAATGCACATTTCCACATCTTGCTGTGTCACATCTAAGGTTTTCAGCCAATGTTTTCATGTAGAAATATTCGCAACTTTGTGTGAGCTGAAGAGTATTGTGAAATTGTTCTGTTTTTCTTAAACTTTGCAGAACTCCTATTATTACAAATTCATTTCATGAATTATAAAGGAAGACTTTGGCGGACAGATCTGGAGCAAGTCACAAGAAGTCAAATATTTCTGTTTCAGTTCTACTTTACAACAGTTACGAGAGAAAAGCTGCAGATAATCCCCCCCCAGCTGTCAATGAAAAATGCTGTTGAGAGTCGTACTAAAAATTGAAGACCTCATGAAATAGAAACTAAGGTTTATTTCATGGTGAGCAGCTCCATGAAAGTGGAAAACGTGATCTGAACTGTAGCCTGAGAGTGCCCTTCATATGAGCTACAAATGGTGATGGTTCAAGGGAGGTCCTGGAAAATGTAGAAATGTGGAAAAAAGAGCTAGACTCTGTTCAATGGCTTGTTTTTTTTTAGCAGAAACTCCCTGGAATCGACAGGGTGCATACATTTGAGACTAAGCTTTGTGAACAGTGAGTAGCATCTATGTGAAAAAGACCAAAGATACTCATCTATGCTATGTGTAGAAAAAGATTAGTTTGAGTTTAGAAAGAAATGCCATGCAAACACTGTTGGTGGAAAAAAATCAGAGAGATGAGAAGCTGCTTTTGATCGATCAGCCACATGAAATTAATTGCTTTATAATGCACAAATCAGATAATTGGTAATCAGAGGGCTATTTTTTTTCCATTGCCTGCGTCTCAGCCATTCAATATGAAAATGTAGTTTTACCCAAGAAAGGCTGCATTGCTTATTGCTGTCACAGGTTTGTGGCCTCCCTACAATAACGGACAAACTAAACCTTTTCATTTCTGAATAAATCAGTTGATTTAATGCCACCATTTGGACTTCAGCTGGAATTAAGTGGAAATGTTAAACAGAGGAGGCAAAAAGGAGGCAGCGGTTGTTAACACTCAGGCAACTACTGCTGTACGGATAGAGAGTGGGCTTCTGGTCCATGAGCCCAAATTTATTTAAAATGTTCCGCTTGCATGTATGACTTCTTGTGTTGCGATAATTGGAGAAGTAAGTCTGCACTGTAGCCTTTCCCATTAACAGTCTGTATAGAGAACTCCCAGATCTAGACCCCCCTGCCTTCACCTAGCTCATTACACATTCAGAGCATTGTTCATGAATTTTTATGAGGTCCTCTCAAGTAGTATGCAAAGTTCAGCTGTTGAAATAGACAATAGTGTTTTCAACCACTCTCTTTATTAAAGAAGAGAAAAAACTTGGTCATATCAGTTCCAAGAAGGAAAACTAACCTTTGAAATTATGGAGTTTTAGATTTGAGGGCCTGGATGCCGTCAGCACTGGAAAACTCAGATGAACCAGATGAAGAGAAAACCCAAGTGCTATTTTTACATCCAATCAGCTTTATGTAAATCCTTTTGTGCTCCAACAGAATGAATACAGTAACTACAACATTTAACAATAGATGTTCTGCCCACAGTGTTTTATTTTTACTCATGGGCACTTAAATTATAGGTCCAGTTTTTATCCCGCTTAAGGAAAGATTAGTGTGTATGATAAACAACTGAAATTTGATGAACAAGCGACCATTGTGGGCAAAACATGTTCCCGTTTATGTTTATGTGGCTCCAAGTGGAGGCCAGTATTAAGGCTTATAAGTAGGCGTTTATCCATCACGGTGTTGTGTTACATGTGTTCTGCTGCAGCCCAACAGTTGTGACTATGTTTCCATCTTGTTGCTTTGAGCACTTCAGGATGCACAAGTGCATTCAGAATTTGTCTTAAAGTACTAATATAAGTTCAGACATTAACATCAATATTAAACAGGCATTGATGCAGCTTTGTGCAGCTTAATTGACATCATTCAGACCACACCAGCACATAAAATGAACAGGATTCTTTGAATCAGCAAAGTGCTTGTAATGTAATAAGCACTCTCTTTTAAATGGAGGCTTGACTCCATTTAAAAGAGGGCAAAAAAAATATGTGTGCACTCTTGCTTAAGGCTTTCATCTTGCATATAAATCACACCAGCTGAAAGTGGGTGTTTGAACGCCACAGATTTTAGGTCTTGGGGCACAACACTGTATCACCGGCCAAGTCTTCATTAATGACTGAGCTGTGCCGTGACAGCATGATGTAAATTAAGCCAATTCCAAATATTCTGGGAGCCGACAAATGTTGGCATTGCCTGGCTGTTTTAGAAGCATTATAAACGACTCTCGCTTTCTCTCATTTCTTCTTCCTGCTTTCTCTTCTGTCTAGATACCGCGGCAGCTGAATCCCCTGACCCTGTACAGGTGTGAACGGTCAGTTGTGGATTACTGCCATGCCCACCTGTTGCTGCACCACAAAGTGGGCATGGAGCCCTCCGTCCAGGCGATGGGAGGACCTGGGCCAGCCTTGTACCACCCAGGTCTAACAGCCGCCCTCCCCTCTGAGCCTGTGCTGCCTTGCCCCCAGATTTACTCCCACCGCCAGTGAGCTGAGCCCACCGTGAGGCTCCGTCTCAGTATTTCTGCTGCACAAAAAACGGTGGACTGTTCAAATGAAATAAAAGGTTGCGTGGGAGGAAACCGGGACTGGTAAAGAAGCAAAGGAGATAATTAGTCTACTGCAGAGCATCCTGGACCCAGGGTAATGAAAATGAAACTATTTTTCAATGGAAAAAAAGGAGTGCAGCAGTATTGATTAGTGAGCATCTGACCTACCCGACCCTCCATGTCCTCAATTAGCCAAGGAGGCTAAACAGCAGCATGACTATCCACACTCTGCTTGGCCTCCTAAGGATTATTAAAGGATGATAACTTAATGATTTGTAAATCCTATTAAGCATATTTCTTGAGATTTTAATTATATGGGCACCTTTTCTGCTACACAGACTAAATAATTAACTGCAAAATGCTTCAACAAAGCAGGGGAACAGTTTGATTAAAGAGTGACCAAGGTAAATTATTATTGTGCAAATTTATGTGACCTCCATGTCAGTCAGAAGCCTCAACCTGACTGACCGTGTTTTTCATTTTAATAAATGAGCCACACAGATTGAATGACCAATATCATACTAAACAAATGTGACCACAACAGACAGTATTTGACATATGAAATGTACAGTCTACACAACTTGCCAGCACTACAGTAAGTATCATTTTCTTGACGACATTTAACTTGTGAATTTGATAACATTTCAGTGAATCTAACTGAGCTGAAATCAAGAAAAGTCAACAGCAGGAATCTGCACAGGGGTATTCACATATTTACTTTTCATCCCTTATTTAAATCAACTTTTGTGGTTAATGTTCTTTTGATTTCATAATGTATTATAAAGCCAGTTATCTGAATGTGCACTCATATATTTACATGTGTGCTTTTTACAAGATGTTACACTATAATATATGGTAAATAAACTGTGGTAAATGACCAGTAACAGTGTGATTCATCAGGATCAGTAATTTTGACCCAAACAACTGTTTGCTTTATTTAGACGACCGAGTAGGCGGTTGTAACTGTAACGCAGCTCTGAAAGCAAGACTTTTTATTAATGGTGCATCATGCTTTTGCATTAGTGATCGCCCCTGACACTACCTGTCCTTTGATTTCCATCTTCTCTAACTGTGTGACAATTATCTCATGTAATGCTCTATAAGCTTAAAAAGGTTTCCTACAATGAAGTAAAACTTCTACTGGAAAAAATACACAGAATTATTGTCCTGAATCCGTATCTGCTCCATGTGCCTCCCAAACATGCAGTAGGTGGTACCACAAACATGGCAAAAGGTGAATGTGATACAATTGACAGGCTTTTCAGCCAAAAAACAAATGTTAACCAGTTCAGTAAACACTAAACTTCAGAAATCATATTTGCTGGTCAATATTGACACTACATTTGATTGAAAGGTTGGCTGAGTTTAATCGACATATTGCTGTGGTGTCCATTGCCTTAAAGCGTTACAGTGCCTATTTCTATCATCATGGGGGCAAAATTAACTAAATAAACCCCATGCTTTATTAAGAGACACGAGAACTGAGAACATTACCTTATCAAAGAAATGAATTAAATGAGAGGGGCTCCATTCTTTCAAAGACTTTTCAACTATTAGACTTTTCAGACAGAGGAGTCAATTCCAGCTGACCAATGAAAAGAATGCAAATAAATGCACCTAAACAATGGTATCGCTAAGCAGATCTGAAGGTCATCTTTTCATCTGCTACAATTATATATACGATTATGTTTCTTCTAAGGCAATTGGAGAATTTAATCAAGTTTTCTGGTCGCAATAGATAATTGGTCCTTGCAGGCCTGGTGTGGTCACCTCCCTGCTGGACTCTGTCATTTCAAAGGGACGCCACACGCAGTTCAGGGAGCTGGCCGTGTGGACAAACGCTCTGTGCGAAGAGACACAAGGAACACATCCAGTCACAGAAGACCAAAATGGAGGAAAATCTTTTTGTTGTTCTGTGTGTGTGTGTGTGTGTGTGTGTGTGTGTGTGCGTGTGTGTGTGTGAATTCCCTGACACAACTTTGATCCCTCCTATCCCCACAGGACCACTATCAGAGTGTGCAGCACAGTTCTGCTGGGTGTCGCGAGCAGACTGGCACATTCAGGGCACATTTCTTTTTTCTCAGGGCTGGTGATAGCGCTTGTCTTTCTTTATCTTTTTTTTTTTTGTTAAGCAGACAGATGTGTGGGTTTTTTGATGGCAACATACACAATATACACAAACAAGAAACTATCTGCCTCCTACCAACAAAATGAAAAGCTTGAAGTTTTGAAAACTGCCTGTTTTGCTCAGGACTCAGTGACCAGAGCTCTGAACCCAGCGGCAGGCACATTGCATTTCCCTCTCTCATCTAAAAGGGCCATCAGAGTCTTTCCCTTGGTCTGGTAACAGCACAACCACATTTACTAAAAGTGTCCCCACTGAATGGAAACTGGCTGTGGAAACTGATATATTTGAATTATTTTTTCTTCTTTTCTGCATCCAGATGGTAGCTTTGTGCTCCAAAGACATACTAAATATTTCCAATTTATTATGTTTTCCCATTTATCTTAAAATCATCTTCTTCTGTGATCAAATATTGGGTGACAATAAAATATGCAAATTAGGTGATCGTATTTAGTGGGTAAAACCTAATAACAGGAGTCCTGCTTTGTTTTTGTTGATATATTTTATGAATCTGCCAGCAACTGTTAGTCTTGTTATTTAAACAGGGTTTAAACATTGTATTCTTATTTGTATTCTTGTTCAACCAAATCATAGATCAAGCATTTTGTCACTGAATTAAGTATACATTTAGAGTGGGTTCAGTTTGATCAATTCTGATGGACAAAACAATCAAATGTAAAAACCAATTAATTAGGATTACTGGGATATTGTAGTCAGTCTGAGCTTTGATGCTATATAGTTTTATGCTTTGGCGGTATTGTGAGCTTGAAGAGTATAAAATAACTAGTGTTGTCTACTGAGAAGCTGTCTGTAAAATTAATTTTCTCATCAATCAAAATGTTTAAACGTGTCACACCAAGTTGTCTTGTGAGAGTTTTACTGTGTATTTATGATATATTTGGTTCTCATGTCCTTTCAAACAATGCCTTTTTTCTGAAGAAAAGTTTTGTCCAGCAATCTTTCTATTCATGCAAACCTCAAATCATTCACAAGCTGTAATCTGCTTACACCATATCAGGCTGTACAAAGTCAGTAAGTAACAATGAAATGACTGTACACCTGCTGTATGTCAGTCTTTGCTTCAGAGTGCACATTTGGCAAATTCTTCACCTTGAATTCTTCTTTAAGAGGAGCAGAATAAAATCAACAGAGGAAAAGATATATGTTCGAATGACAACGCATTCAGACACATGACAGATTCACGCTGCGGGATTTACTGTTCTGTGGACGTACACATGAAACAGTTTTACAACAACGATAGATTATACACGGCGCTCACCTCAAGTGTTCAGAAAAGCTCTCAGAGAAGCAGAACAGGGTGGTGGATGGCAGCAGATGCAACAGAAAAGCTCTAATTCTTATGTGTTTGCACAGATTTGCACCAACAGGCAGATGACTCATGATATTTCAATTGGTAATTACTTTTTGGAGCAGTTCTGTTTCTTCAACTTTCCCCAAAAACCGGGAAGATTATCACCCATAACATGTCTTAAAGTGTGTGACGCACTGCAGATGTAATATATGTAAAGATAGATTTTATTTATAGATTCATTTTTTACTTCAACTTTTACCTTTTCCGACACACTGTTTGGATACAGAAAAAAACAGATCTCGAGCAAAAACAAATTTCATAAGATAAGATTTATCTGTTCATTAATAAAAATACAGCCTGAAAAATATTATATAGAAATAGAAACTAGAAAATGTTGATGCCTGTTGGAGTTTGAAGGCCATGTGGAGAAAATTACCTTCTTTTTTTTTAACAACAGTGGCTCTGTCTTCAGTTGATATGAACAATGTGTGTAGTGTTCCTCCAGAGGTGGTCTGACTATTATTCATTTCCAATTCTGTCACCGGCCTAATTTGCAGAAATGAAAAGTGTCATGGTAATGTCAACAGATGCCTCTTGGTTTGTTATTTAGCTGACATTTTATTTATTTGGACAACATATTGGTCCTTTTCACAGCACGTTGGCATTTTCTTGGACAGCACAGACAAGCTATTTTCTCAAACCATCCATAGAACTGTCACAGTAAGAAAGACAATGCAACACTTTATAGTATGTGGACTTAAACTCCTCGCATATCTCATCTCGTTCCATTGATTTCATCCAGTGAGCTTATTTTAGTGGGATTCAAAGGGCCTCTACATTTACAAGACTCATTACAGCACAAGAACGTGAAGGGTAAAGTACATATAAAAAGTTATGATGGCTGTTTACCTCTGTGTACATGCTTTTTTTTCCATACATTGCCAGATAAAATCCAATAAACCTGAGTAAGATGTTGTCGCTCTTGGCATAATCAAACATATATTTTCTCCTGTGAATAAAGAACCATTGACACAACCAGAAGAAAATTGTGGAGATTTGTGCCCTCGGAAATAAACAGCACATCTCAAACTTGGAGGATATAAGGATAACATTCTCATGTTAGGCTGCCCTCCAGGCAGTGGTGTTTCTCTCTACAAACATGTGGATTTGTCCCACGCGAGTCCGGGGTGTACATGAAGTATTTTGGGTTGAGGTCAAACTGAAGTTCCCGTCTGTCCTCATCCACAGGCACCCTGTCCTGTCATTCTGGAGTTGTGCTGCGACCCGCTGGCGGGCAAGGCAGCTGTGAAAGCGTTTGATTTCCCCTGAGAGTTCCACTGCTGCTATGCTCACACTTTGAGATTACCTCTACCGTCTCACAAGCCCAATTTGACACTGGTGCTGGTAGTTTATTTTCAAACTGCCTCTCAAATCACAAGGCAATCGACCACTTTCTTGATCCGTTTCAGGGTCAAAGGAGTGGACATTTTTATTGTCCCCAAAG